GGGGACAAAATATTGAATTAAGAGGAAAATTTCATTTTATTGTTCTGTTTTTTCATCATCTGTTTTTCGAAGCTGTGTGCATGAGAGAATTCATTACCATGCGGCGCCCATGAGGCCGACGATGATCATGGTTATCCAACTAGTGAAGTTAAGGCTGCCCAAAAACGAAAAAAAAAAATTGTTCGAATTTTTCAATCAGTGAAAATCAAATCTTGGTTGTGTTTGTGCAGAGAAGAATTATATGTAGCGAATTTACTCGTGAGAGCTCACCATATGGAGAAAGCGGATATGGCGATTTCGGCATTTTTCACGTACCCGGCAAGTAAGACCAAAATCGAATAGTACCACAGTTCCAAGCTACAAATACCAACAAGACAGAACATTGTCAAACCTCAAACTACATGAATTTTGTTCCCAACAGTAAACAATTGCTTCGTGTGGCAGTCGTACTTTTCAAACGAGATGTGATATTGTTCGATGCTGTTATTTCGCATCGTTTCGAGTTTTCATGTGAGGAAGTACAATCAGATCTCATCGATTTTCAGTGAATACCGCAGTTCTAGTCACTAACTTAGAGCGTTTTCCATTTTTGCCCAGGTACGAAATTGGTACAATAGCTCTAGAATTTAAGAGTTATCGGACCAATTTCAGACCACAATAATGGGACACACATGAAGTGGGTGGACCAAAACTGCAATTTTCCCCAATTTTCACGTCAACCTTTTTGCGCGTCTAATGAACATTTTCCCAACAATTGTAGTCATAGATAGAGCTGTCAAAATCCCCTTTTTTGTGAAAAACCGACAACTCTAACCATAAAGTCGCTAAAAAAAAAAAGAAAGACACCCACCAAACCATGATCCCGGACGAGATTGAGAGCTTCACGACCGGCACCAAGTCGTGAAATGCCGCCAACGTGAACCCCTTCCACGTGTCCCTACACCAACCCCCGAGCACATACACGAACTCCCCGAAAACCACAAACCACGACGAGACCAACAACGCCCCCATAGCTCCCGACACCCCCAAACCCATCACGTTCACAAAGAGCCAGCTCAGCGCCACGTGGATCGGCAGCTGGACGGCCGAGAGCCATCCAATGATCGCGTTTTTCTGCTGGGCTTGAAGGTACATTTGCACGGTCAGGCTGAAGATGAGTCCGTACAAGAAGGGCACGAACCATAGAGAAACGTAACCTGCGGATTTCGAGATCTCGTGTTGCTGGCCGAGCAGGTCGAAAATCGGGGTCGTGTAGAGGAAGAGTGGTAATAGAAGGGTCAGGGTGATGAGGTTTATGAACCACGAGCGCTGGAGATAAACTCCCATCATGTGGTATTGTTTGGCGCCGTACGCTTGGCCGCATAAAGTCTCGGTCGCGCTCGACATCCCTATCTGCCGAAGAAAAAAAAAAGGGTGATGATTTTGTTCGTGAGCATTCATAATTTGCAACATGACTATACAATCATTTGGAAAAACGGACACTTATGGTAAAAAAATGTAAGATATATTGCAAATTATGAATGTTTATGAAGTTCGGATTGTATTTTAACAAGAAAAATACTATAAACTGCAAAAAATTGTTTATTCACTTCAAAATATTACCAGTATGCCATTGGCGAAACGGACGGCTACGGTTTGGACGAGCGCGTAGGCCGCTAAGTCGACCGAGCTTATGTGCCCGATAAACGATTGGGTCACGACTATGGTCCCGAACGAAGCCACTCGCGAAACGACGCTCGGCAATGCGACTTTCCATATTTTCTTGGATTCATCATAAATCCTTGCCTTCAAATCAGTGTCCTGTTCTGCTTTTGAGCTCACAAGAAGCAGGCTCTCTTGGATGCCATTATTATCCATGGCTCTATAAGAAAACAAAATAACTACTTACTCAATATTATGCAATAATAAAGAAAATCCAATAGTATGCACCTTATAATAATTAAATGACAAGTTGATAGGGATGAAGTAAATTTGGACTTTGGCAGCTAATTAAACAAATCACCATGTGGCTGGTGCCAGGAGATAAGATTAAGGTATTATTAATTACTATTACTATTACTGATTTTATTAGTATATTATCACAAAAAATGATTTTATGTGTGACTTATTAATCAATCAAAACAAAGTAAGATTCAAAGATGTACTGTGCCCTGTGGATCCGCCCTTGTGGTCCTACCCAACTCGATTCCGGATTAGTCGGTCCCCCTATGGATCCGGAAATCGGGAGGTCAAAAAGGATGTACTGTGCCAGCGAATTTTCAAAAATAATGGTGATTGGATGTTTCTGAATAAAATAACAAATATAATTGAGGAACTTTATCATTATTAATTTATTAAATACGTCCAACTACTTTCACTTAAACTCTCCTCACATAATTGAATAACATCACATGGGCTTTTTTTACTGTTTATTAATGTCAAAAGGTACAAACTTTTTTTACTTCTTTGGTTCAATAATTTTCGAATTCATTTTTTTTTTTTCTATTCATTTCGAACAATTTGATAAATAAAATGAAGAAATTAAGGGTGCAATGTACAATTTATTAAAAAAAAATGTTTCTTTCCGAAAAATGAAATGAAAAAAGTGAGTTAGAGTAAATTACAATTTTAGTCATGTATGTTTCACAACTTTAACTTTTTCGTCCTCTTCGAATTGTGATTTTGATTTTCGTCTCGTATGTTTGAAAAAATGTTACAAAAAGGTCATTTTCGTAACAAAAAGATCCTTTATGTTTTGCAAAAAAGTGTTGCAATTTCGTCCTTCATGTATGAAAAGGACATTTGTGTAACTTTTTTTCAAACATACGGGACGAAAATAAAAAAACGCAATTCGAAAAGGACGAAAAAGTTAAAATAGTGAAACATACAGGACTAAAATTATAATTTACTCAATTTTAAATTATGAATGCATATGAAATAAAATTATAGCGTGTGATATAAAATTATATTAATTGATAAAATTAGTTAAAGATACATGTAAGTGAATGAATAACATTTATGTAAAAGATTATTGTAAATCATATAAATCTATAACTGGACAAAAAAAAATATGAACAAAAAAATCTATGTCCCATTAGCTCTAGACAAAAATAAAATAAAATAAAATAAAAATAATAATAAATAAATAAATAAAAAAGGAGAGGCTTCTTGTTATCTAATATTTTGAGTAAAATTATAGTTAACACATTCATTGACAACCTTAATCTTGGGCTGATTAGTAATATTTTGAGTATAAATGATAATGTACATTAGGAAAAATAACTAGATTACTTAGCAAATATATAAATGAAATATGTCAATAAATCATCAGTAAATTTTATATTTTACCATTATTAAGTCATCAAAACCGCAGAATCTATTGGATACTAAATAATAATACCAAATAAGCAAAACATTGAGAAGCACACGTATTGATTGAAAAAATAAAAAAGAAAAAAAAAAATAAAGAGAAAAATCAAACACACCACATGATGCTTACACAGTGAATAAGGGCTCTAATTTTCCTTGAGTTCTTTTTGCAGTGCTCTTACAAGTTATGAGGAAGAGGACTTTTAACAATACTGTAGAGGGACCAGAAAATGATGGGATATTGGTAGAATATCATAATTATGAAGGTGACAAGGACATCTGTGGAAGAACCAAATTATTTGTTCTGAATTTAGGTTGCAAAACCGACTTCAAAGTTGTGGATTTCGGCGGTTCGGTTTTGGTTCGATATT